CTCTCTCTCTCTCTCTCTCTCTCTCTCTCTCTCTCTCTCTCTCTCTCTCTTTCTTCTTGTCTAAACTTCAAAAGATGTCATGTTTGCGCCAAATTTTCCGACCTCCCGTTATTGCGGAGCTCTAATGTCGGGAGGTCACGCATTACCAATAGCGGTACAGTGCGATAATACAATAAAGCGTTTGCCGTTTCGCTGCAAAGCGGCTTTTACGTAACGCCATCCACGTCAACCCTTCTCACGTACTTGACGAGCGCTATTCATTAAGACCAGCTTCATTTCGGAACCCGTACACACAGCCTGATCATCCTTTAGAACGTGTTCCGTCATAACCATGCTCGTCGAAGCCGCCCCGTCAGTGTATCCGTCACGTCGCGCGGCATTCACTCCCTAACGTGCGTTGACATCAACGTCGATACTTGCACTCTTTTTGTCAGCGACGTAGCTGAAATTGCGAATACAATTGCGCACTCGCAACGGAGACTGTCTCTGAAAACCGACTCTTACAGCGAGCAGCCTCTTTGTTGATACAGAAAGAGGTGGTGTGCAAGGGACGTGTGAGATGGAATACAAATTGAAGGCATCGAGCCGTGATCTCTCGGATTTTGCGGTGAAAATATGAGAACCGTGAGATATATGGACGACCTGTGTAACCTGCGCGGAAAGAAAAAAAAACTGTATGGTTGGCCCACACATAAATCTGCCAGATTCATTATTGAACAACCAGATTCATGTGTGAGCCAGCCATATTGTTTTTTCCTGTGTGAATTTACGTCGTGTGCAATGATGAATTACACTATATTGCGGTTTACGGTGAACCGGATTTTTATATTCGTTAAAATCAAGTCGGATTATCGATGACTAATTATTGGATCGATGAAGCGATAATAATTTCTCAATTACAGCAATCACAACAAGCGTCATTTTTTAAAAGGAGAATTAATAGAGAAGAAAAACACAAGTATGAGACATGATAAAGAAATATTTGGAGCATTGAAGCATCTTTGTTGACATGGAAAAGGAAGGCATGAATAAGATAAAGGGCTAAGCGAGATGTGAGGTGGAATACAAATTGGACGTATCGAGCCGTAATCTCGGATTTTACGCTGAAAATATGAGAACCGCGAGATATATGGACGATCTGTGTAATCTATGTAATAATTTGTGTAATCTGCGCAATAACCCGTGTAATCTGTGCAATAATTTACATCACGTGCAATGATGAATCATATTATATTGCGGATTATGGTAAACTGGATCCTTGCGTTCATTAGGATCAAGCGGTCGGATAATCGAGACCGATTATTGGATGAATGAAACAGCAAGCAGAATAATTTCCTAATGATAACAATCGCAATAAATTTCACGGTATAAATATTTTTAAAAGAATATGACCACACAATACAGGAAAAGATAAAGGTGTAAAATACGGTAGAGAAAAATTTGAGACATCAAAGCATCTTTGTTAACGCGAAAGCGGAAGATATGAGCGGGGTGAGCGAAGTGTGAGATGGAATACAAACTGGAAATGTAATTTTGGATTTTGCGGTAATAATATGCATGAAAAGCATAAAATATACTGATAATACATTTCATCCGGCTTTATACCAACGATGAATTATACTTATAAACGGTTTACTTAGGGGTTTAATTATATTTATAAGCGGTAAATAGAATCTTTGTATTCTTTAAGATCAAGCCGGATGATTAATAATTGAACATATAAGGCATTAGAATAATCTCCTAACGATAACAATCACATAATAGCTGTCGCAAATTTTTTAGGAAAGAGAATAGCTCTAATAAAGAGGGAAGGATAAAAATATGAAATACAATAGGAAAAAAATTTATGAGATCGCGAAATATTCTTGTCGACGTGGAAACGGAAAGCATGAGCAGAATAACGAGATGAGCGAAGAGCGAGGTAGAATACAAATTGTAAGCATCAGGCTATAATCTTGAATTTTACAGTGATACCGTGAAAATCGCGAGATATATATGTGTTATCTGACTTTGTATCATCCGTGATGATGAATTATACTGTATTACTGATCACGGATCTTCGTTAAAACTAAGCCACATAATTGATGATTGAACGGATGAGGTATTGGAATACTTCTTTAGCGATGACAGTCGTCATAGTATAAATAAGAGAAAGGAAACGACTCATAAAAGAGGAAAGATGGAAGTATGAAACACAGTGGGGAAAAATTTAGGATGAGAGGCGCTTGATGCTGCTGGGCATCGAAAAAATGTGAGAAGTTGAATATTCGATGACTCATATAACTTGAGACACGGGACATATAATTTTAAACGCGCGCCAATTCAGAATATAAGAAGCGTCGCGGAAAATGTAACCGTCGTAAAAGTAAGCGTCTAATTTCACGGATGAGGAACATAATACGAGTACCTCGTAATCTTACCCTCTTCTCCTCCTCCTCCTCCTGCTCCTCCTCCTTCTCTTCCTCCTTCCGTCATTTGTTATACGTCCAAAAGGAACGCGAAATTAGTTCAATATTTAGATATTACCACGCTCACCCTCGCGCTTAATTGCAATTTATCCGCTATTACTGCCGCCATTTCGCTCGATTGCGGCCATTCGCGTGATGTAAAGATGCCGCCCGACAGGGCGGCGGATGCCAAAACGGTGAAAAACACTTCAGCGACCACATGCCGCGTATTTATGAACGGCGATAAGACGCGCCACTTATCTTTTTGGTCCAGAATAAGATCGGCCGGCTTAGCGGGAAAGCTCACGGGAGAGAGGATATATTTTTGCATGTACCCCACTACGTTCACATTCTTGTCTCGCGCAATAATCCACCTTCCTGTTTACTTAATCCCATTAGTTTCTCTATGTCCCGCTAATCGTGAAATTCCGAAAGGATTCATTAAACTCTGCTAATGGTACCGCAGTAAATGCGGTTATCCTCGTGCGTGTAACGTGTCCCTTTATCTATTTTTGCAAATTACCGAGAACGACGTTATACGCATCTCTCTCTCTCTCTCTCTCTCTCTCTCTCTCTCTCTCTCTCTCTCTC